TAGTTTCGATCGTCTAAGGTCGATGTATTCAAGTCCGTTCTGCGCACACAAATTAAATTCTATGGGGTTGTAGGCTGTTACCTGTGATGTGGGTCGACATTCTTCATACGAGATTGACTCAACTCCTAACTGGTATGGAGGTATCTCGAAAACTTCTAATTGTGAAGGAATAGCTTCGGTGAAGTTGTACTGTGATGTAAGTTAAGCCATTCTTAATTGGAAAAACGTCTCGTTTCGGTTCTCTTTTCTTATTGCGGGTATTAGCTCCACTGGTGGTTGGCTTATGACTGGTCTTTCGTTTGAGTTTTTTCTTTCTTTTATATGTAAACCCTCATCTTCTAAAGACTCTTTAGCCATTTCAACCATTTGCGCACTTGGACTAACTAGACGAAGATTGCACTTTTCATTAGATTTCAACGACGTTGACGGCAATCTTTGATTTTGAATAGGTATCATAAAAGACTTATTACGCCCGGTATTTTTCATGTGCGTTATATACGTTTTATTATTCCCCTGCACAACATTTTGATAATATTTCGGCCACTTCTTCATGCTTGGAATGTACATTTTGTCTGCATTCATCGTTGATGCTTCCCCGTTCTTTTTCTAATATGTAGTGTACAGGACAGACGTTGAGTCAAAAATGACGCTTGTTCTGCACTTTCGTCAAAAATATGTATTTCTATGTCGCGGATTTCAGTTTTTTCATAGGGACGAAAATAGGGTTAGAAAAAACGTAATTCCAGGTGTTGTTTGGTGTAGGAAACACACGTCGTAAAAGTTAAAACTGATTATGAAACAGGCTTACACCCAAACACACGTCACAAAAAAATGTATAGTTCGTGTATGTTTTTTTTAACATTTGAAATTTTCTCCTCGGAATAAAAATCAAAAACAGATATTTCCCACTTCCCCTCTTAATACAAAGTGTCACTTAGGTGAATCTTGAAATTAGAAGGTGTATTTTCAGGATAATACTTATTTGATTGGTCGTTGATTAAGAAAATAATTTGCTCCTCATCAATATCATTGTTTGTCATGATAGTGTTTGAATGTCTTCTTCGGGAATGTATTGATTATATTTATCAGGCCAACCTTGAAATTCACATGAAAACTCAGTCTTCCATCGCCTTTTTCGCTTTTTAAGAACTTTCTCTACGACCCATAGTGCTGAATCTGATTTATCAACAGCTTGAAGTTCAGAAGAATAGTATTCACCTAAAATCACTTCATCGTTATAAAAGGAGCCCAATTTATAAAGGTTGATGTTCTCATCCGTCCATTTTTGACTATAACTTCTGTGAAAAATGTGTCGCGTATAAGCAATTCTAACAAGAGAACCGATTTTAAATTTGTAACTCTTTCGTTGTTGCATTCTTTTTTTTTCTCATCGAATCGAGTTGTTTCGTGTTTTTGGTATTTGGTCGACTCATCTAATCATGTTCTCTTTTAAGTAAAGTAACGATAAAATTTGTTTTTTATGGTTTATATCACAAGCTCTGCATAGTTTGCTTTTATCTCGTTCTTAGTTACAAAATGTCGCACTCCCCTTTCCTTGAAAAGTTTTTGAACAACCTTCGACTTGAAACACCCATTAACGTCCGAGCGGATCTTGTCTACCTTTGCTGATTGGAGAATTTTTTCAAAAGCTTTGGCTATGTCAACACCTTTATTACTCTTTGATTCTTGCATCCAAAGACGACGACTAAAGCAATCTATGGCAACTAGTATAACATTATGTCCAGAGTTCCATTGTGATAAATTATTTACTTGCATTCGGTCGAAGTCCATTAAGTTACCAATTCCTGTAGTATACACACGTAATCACAGAAATAAACAACTATAGGTTACCGTACGGCCTTCAACAATGAGCAAAGCCCATACCACACAGTCAGTTATAAAAGGCCCTGAAATGACAATGTAAAACAATTCAAACGAGAAAACTAACAGCCTAATTTATGTACAGGAAATTAACGAAAAACAAATATATAACACATAAACAAACGACAACCACTGAATTACAGGTTCCTGACTTGGGACAGGCACATACATACAGAATTGGGCGGGTTTTAACATGTTAGTGGGATCCCAACCCTCCCCCTACCTGGAACAGTGGTGTAACAGTACAACATAAGAACGAACTATAAAAATCAGTTGAAAGAGGCTTAACTCATCAGATGGATAAAACTACAAATACTACAATTACAAGTGGACGTGGCCGGGTACTTGTACATCCAAACAACAAAAAGACACTAAGTATGTATGTTTACATCTCATTGACAATATTCCACTCATAATAGTCCAATTTCTTTTGTTTTCCTTATTTGTTTTTTTTATCATGTTAGATAAGTGTGTAGCTATGAATAGCATGTATGTATACATCTCATTGACAATATTCCACTCATAATAGTTTTAAAACTAAAACATAAAGAACTATTAATAAATAAGACAAACAATGGTCAGAGTTGAAAAGTATTTTAATTGCTGTCTTACTTTTCTATTTTGATTATATTTTTTAGAAAAGTTCATTTTCTTTCCAACTCTTATTGTATGTTTAACCAAAATAAATCAAGTTTCAACTAAAGATGAGATATCTGTACATTGTTTAACAAATATAATACAAGATCCAAAAGTATGTATGTTTAACAAAAAAAATCAAGTTACATCAAAAGGTGAGATATCTACATTTTTTAACAAATATAATACAAGATCAAAAGTATAAACTTCACACACACACACACACACTATTTAAACACAAAGTCAGATCAAAAGTATAAACCACACACACATACACACACAAACACACACACACACACACACACACACACACACTCACACTCACTATTAAAACATAAAGTCAGAACTTACAATACAAGAAAACATAAGATAACAAACTTTATTAGAAACACAAAAACTATGTACATCTTGTTGTCTCTAAAATGTGGATAAAGAGAGGTAACTCTAATTTCCATAGAATAACACTTTTCTGTTTCAATCTTGAAAATTGCACCAGTGATATAATAAAAGCACTATAAATGAGAATGTTTTCATTTGCATAATCTGAATAATTTGTCAGATTCTTTGAAAAACATATGGTTGAGGGGAGGTTAATCAAATTTTCTTTAGAATAGCATTGTTTTTATTTAAGAATTACAAACTACATACTTCTTCACCTAAAAAAACCCAAAACAAACATAATATATTCTTTTGCACTAGAAGAAAAGGAATGAATTTTGTGAGCACTAATTGAGTAACAAATAACAGCACTAATACAATGACATACAATCATTGTAAAATAACAGCACTAATACAATGACAGACAATCATTTTATGTTAAATAAAATTGTGGTCAACAGCTAAAAAAAGACCATGAAGGAAACATAAAATAATCTCTCTTTATGAAAAAACACAAACAAAAGATTCTTTTAGAAAGAAAAAAATATGCAAGTGTTAACATGAAATCTATGACAATGTGCTTATCAAAACACAATCTTAAAAGAAAAATTTGGAGCTGAGATTTTTACCATTAATAGAGTAATCATGTAGATCATGTTTATAACAACAAACTTCAAGAAATAATGCATGCATGTTTTTTCAACATCTTTTAAGAAATGATTATCCCTTATAATGAAACTATTTCAAATGAAAACAAGAAGAAAAAAAGTCATGTTCTAATTTGTTTTTGATTCTTTGTTTAATGCATATTTTACACGACAACCAATCTTTATAAATACTAACCATTTTTTCAAATGAAATTATAATTCAATTTTCATCATGAATACCCAACAAGAAATCATAATGTTGAAAAAGGAACTGTTTAATTTAATGGCAAAAGTCAGAAGGTTGGAAAAAAAAGGGCAACACATCAAACTATTGGAAAGGTAAGAGGAAATTAGGGAGGTTTGCTACTCTGTTTCAAAATAACAAGCTTTCTAAAATACTGTAATAAATTGATAGTGTATAAATAAAGGAACTTAAAAAGCAGAAAAAAATGAAGGGTCCATGTGCTTGTTTTTGAGATATAAGCCATTGAAAATTTAGCGGGAAATAATTCTCTCTAGATTTTTCATACACTTTACATTGGCACCTTTTTTCTGTCAAAAAGTATGAAAAAATAACAAGGATTTAACAAGATTTTCAAAAATGGCATTTTAAACTGTATGGAATCAAATTATGAAAAGAAAAGTAGGGGTTAGTGGGCAAAAATTTTTAATGGGACTACATGGATAAAACCAGAGGATTCCGAATATCTGGCAAAAATTCAAAAACAAGAGGAGCGAACATCCTTAATTGTTTTTGATTATTTCTAATGATATGTTAAACGATCAGGTTGATTTCTTGTTCTTGTTGATCTTCTCGGCTGATTCTTGCTTAACAAATAATACAAAAAAGATAAAAACTGTGTTTACAATATTTTTTGAACTTCCTAGAAATAATTAAGTCTCTTCCGGTGGTTAAAAAGTAGATATTCTGTAGGTACCCTATCAAATCTTCTATAAAAATTGGATTTATTGGTAGTAGATAGAGACAACACCAATAACACAAACTGCCAAAATGTCTGGAATAAAAAAATCAAATGGAAGAAATTATTAGTATGCTAAAATGGAGATAACTTTTGTTTCCTTTCATTTAAAACACAAAATTCTACCTCTGATGATAAATGAGATGTAATGCTAGGCACCCTTTTTAACCCAATACTATTTACATGATAATATGATTTTCTTTTTTTACAATATGTACAAAATAACTTAACAAATAAAACTTAGAAAGACAAGCGACTACAATTATCCATTTCCTAGGACTTTATGTTCCTTCGTTACCTGTAAAAAAAATATTATCAATACTTAGTTAATTTATGATAAAAGCATTATTTTGGAATGAATGATATATTTTTATTTTCTTTCTTTTCCCCCACTTACATAAACTTTATTGATATGTAAATTTAATGATTTTCTTATTTTTTTAAAATTCAAATCTTTAGAATTAACACTTACAAAATAATCGATTGATGTGAGTGGTGTTTCCGTCTTCTTCTTCTTCTTCTTCTTCTTCTTCTTCTTCTTCTTCTTCTTCTTCTTCTTCTTCTTCTTCTTCTCCTTCTCCTTCTTCTTCTTTCACTCCAAATGTAGTGCTCATTCCTAATTAAATAAAAAAAGAATATTTGTTATCAAACACTAACATTTTTCTTTTTGTCTTGTATTAGAAGTGTGGTTATGACATACAGGTATATTTTCTTTGTTGTCTTTACTTAAATATATGAATATTTTATACACTTATCTTACCTAGTGATATTTTTTTCTGTGAGTGTTAATTCTTCTTCTGCTTTGGAGTTGTGTGTTTCAATGGCTGTGTCCTAAAAAGTTAGTCTTAACAATGAGTTGTAAACAAAGATTATTGTCTTAACTGTTTATTTTATTCTTCTTTTTAGAATCAAGTTATTGACTTAACAAGTAGTGAAGAGGAGATGATGGAAATAGACAATCATGCTATACCAAGTGCAAGCTGTAGTCATGAACATAAACAAAAAGATGTAAGCATAACTCTTTTAAAAATATAATCTTTTAGATTACAATAATCAAAATACATTGTTTAACATGAGTAACTGTGATTTATATCTAATGAAATATTCAAATAATAAATATTTTTTTTTATAGTTTATAAAACAAATTTATGACTTAGTTCACTTTCTTTACATAGACATATGTCTCTGAAACATAAAACACTATGTTAATTTCCATAAAAAAGGAGATAATTATTTCAACATTTTCTGTGTATTCATGTTTACAATATTTTGTTTTATCAGGACATATCATTAGTACAAGAAATTGAAGAGGCAAGTAAGATATTTCTCAATGTGAGTGTATAATTATTTTTTCAACATTAATTCTATTTTTATCAATAATGGAAATCAAAATTTATATCACGTGGTTAATTTCCTTATATGGTCACATGATTAACACTTCCTAATAAGGTAAACAAATACTATCACATGCTTTCCTTATATGGTCATATGATTAACTTCCTAATATGGTAATCACGTTTACCATTCAAATTAATGTAACTATGTTTTCACTTGTAAAATTTAATCAAACACAAAGTACTTACATACGATGAGCATTCTTCCCCGTTCACCACTATAATCTTCCCTTCCACTGTATCACATAGCTCTTTATTTGACAATGTTAGTTCAAAGACACAAGTACTTTTAACGTGGATATTTTGAATTTGTTCGCTTTTGATAACATAGTTCATCAACACTCTGTTGATAGAAGGATCTATCTCTCCACTAGAGTACACAACACCATCACCTCGACAATCCATTATATCTTCACTTATAGAACATTCTGCTGTATTTGTAAATAAAGGCAACAGTAGTATACCGCTGTTCGAAACTCATAAATCGATAGAGATAAAAACAAATCCGGGTTACAAACTAAAACTGAGGGAAACGCATCAAATATAAGAGGAGAACAACGACACAACAAAAACACAACATTAAAATGTAACACACACAGAAACGAACTATAATATAACAATGGCCATTTTCCTGACTTGGTACAGGACATTTTAAGAAAAAAATGGTGGGTTGAACCTGGTTTTGTGGCATGCCAAACCTCCCGCTTTTATGGCAACGTCAAACACAACACCAAAACGACAACATCACATGACAGGACCACACTACAATTAAATGGGAGAACATATAGGACAAAGAAACACACGAATAATAGCTAGCAGAAGGTACTAGGCTTAAAATTCAATACGCCAGACGTGCGTCTCGTCCACACAAGACTAACCAGTGACGCTCAGATAAAAAAAGTTTGAGAGCCAAAACAAGTACAAAGCTGAAGAGCACCGAGGACCAAAACTTCCAAAACGTTGCGCCTAACACGGCCAGGATTTTCTGCCTGGGACAAGAACATCCTTATTATTTAGAATAATTTATAATACTTCCCACACGGTTATTGATAACAAACAACACATGACAACAAACAAAAACATGGCGATCATCTTCAATTTCTATAATTAGTGTGTGAAGAGGTTACGTCACGTGGGTGAATAAAGGAAAGCTTTTATTGTCTTTACCTGATTAAAAGAACGATTTTTTTTGAAGAAAAAAAGAATTTCATCATATTTTTGTTTGTTTTCATATCAAATAATTAATCATTATTTATTACAAAAAGAGGAATACTGAATAACAATTGTATATATGTTTTAGGAACCGATGGAAGTGGATGTTGTTGATAAATTTATGGACGATCAAAAAAGATTATTTTAAGTAAAAACAATAAAAAGTAGAGGGGAGTATGCAGCTACAATGAAAGGAAAAAAAGACAATCTTTAATATTTTAAATTAATGTTTAACAAATGAAATATGTTATTATTTTATGTTTAAAGAAACTATATATAGATGAGACAACAAGGTGTTTTATTTTTAAACAAACTAATCGAGAAAAGAAAGAAAATAATATCTAGAATTACAAAGAAAAAGATAAAAAACTTTTTTTATTTTAACTATCCTTATCTCGACTAGTTTGTAAGACAATAAAGTTAGCGGTTCGTAAATATTTCTTCTTTCTTTCTTGCAATCTGTGTTGTAGAGTATTTCATGTAAAAATAAAAATAGTCTGTCTCTCTTTCCGTTACAATTCATTCCATTTAATCAAACAAAGGATCCGGTAATTTAGTCCGAACACAAATGGATTTGAATTATCTCCAAACAATAGGTCAATTATTAAAAGTGATTCCTCTAATCTAGGATATCAATTGAGAGTCGTTTCTCTAATCCGAAAACAAATAGATTATAATTAACAATTGTTTACTCTAATCAGGATTAAAAGGGGGAATAAAACATTGAGGATCAATAATCTAGATTAAAAGATAAGGATTATCTTAATCCGATTGATTACATAATAATGTGCTTAACTTAAAGTTGCATCATAAGCTGGTTTAAGAAGATTAGAGTGCTTAAAATCGTACCATAAGCTGGCTGGATTAAGAAGATTAGAGAAAGCTGGAAGATTAAAGGGGATTAGAGGGAATCCTCATTATCCTCAATTGAGGAGTGCAGTCCCACTCTTCACTACTTGAGGAATACAACAAAATTGTACATATTTAAACGATGGCTCTTATTCTAAACAAGGTAAGAATATATATTTTAATATTTTATTACTGCATGCTCCACTGTGACTTACTTAACTAAATGGTCCGTTAGTCTGTACCAATGAAGAAAGTTTAGCTTATACTTTAGTCAAGCATGAAGTTAGCCACAAATTTCAGATGAAAATGCCTGTACTTTATTATTAGAAATTTACTTCCATACATTTATAGCTAGAAAAAAATTGGATATTGTTGTATATATTCCTAGAACTTTGATCATATAATAAATATTTCTAGAACTTTAATTATCTGATAACCATGATAACTATTCCTGAAACATTTATAATATAGCCAATATTCCAATATGCCTTGAACTTTTATAATATAACAAATATTCCTAGAACTTTTAAATACAACAATTATTCTGGAACTTGTTATAATATAACAAATTCTCCTGGAACTTTCATAATATAACAAATATTCCTGGAACTTTTATTATATAAAACATTGTCCATAATACTTATTCCAAGGAGCTTTAAGCATATAACAAAAGCTCCATTGGGAACTTTCCTTATGTAATATTTTATCCTTTGTGAAGGAAATTTTCTTATAACATTGGATAAAATATTATATAAGGCAAGTTCCGAATGGAACTTTAGTTATATGCTAAAGTTCTTTGGAACAAATATTATGGGGGAACTTATATTCTGTCACTGCCACCAAGTAAGGCTACGACTATATTACCATCATCTTGCTGAAAAAAGCGTACAAACGTCAACAATTCCGTTAAACATGTTACTTCTTGCATCCAAAAGTTTTTCACAGAACAAAATTAATTGTTGGACGACATCAGTGGAATGACAACTGCATCAAGAATATTGGCCATCCGTTATTGCTATTGAGCCCAGTTTTACCATGACTAATAATTTATCATTCAAATGCGGATAGACAGAGGCAAGACGTAAATGTAAAAGTGGTTTGATTCTGCCAGTGTACTTTATCCGGAGGAAGAAAATCCCTAGTGATTTTTATCCATCAACAAAAATTCACTAGGTTTTTCTTTCCGGGTCCAGTGTAAAACATCCACCAGTCATTATAAGGTTTTAAAAAATGTTTTTTGAAGGGGAAATATATATAAAATGTGGCTTTATAGTTTTTAGTGTATTTGAAACTTGCATAGTTGATTTATGTAAAAGGTGGAGAGTTTTCATTCAAGGAATGTTCACACTAGTGTTTTGTACCGGAATGATTGCACTAGTTATTTTATACCGGGATTAATTACACTAGTGCTTTAGATCCATACATTGATGAAGTGATTAACATTCATTTTGAACACACGATAACACAATAATGCTTATTAACGAATAAGATTTTAATAATTTTTCTATGCAAATCAATAAAATCCTATGCTTATAAATTGTCACTAATTGTAATATTTATATTTATTGGATTGCCGAAGTGTATTTGCTTTTCGGTCGACTTGAATATAAAATCATATCTTTTATGTCAATATCAAAGGATGCTTCTATAATTGAAACTTTATGTAAGAACAAATCTGCTCTTTAAATTTGGTTTATATCAAGTTCTATGTCCTGAACATTGATAAAGTATTTTGAGTCATAAAAATATCCTCCTCATCATCATCAATACTATTTACTGGATTGACTCAGATTTATTAAACTGGTTCCTTGAAAATAATTTTAATTTTAACCCATTTATTTATGTAAACAATAAACCGGTCTAATATAAACAAAACAACGATATCAAGATCGACACTTTCACACTATTTACATTCAATATTCTCTAGTGAAAAACAGTTACCCGGAATAAATACACGGCGGAATGAAAGTGCGCTTACATAAACGTCTGTGAATAGATAATCTGTTTTTCGTAATAACAACAAAGTTCTGGTCGACATTGAATAGATGATTTCCAAATATTTTCAATTGATTGACTCACAATTTTGGGCCATAATTTTTTATCATGGATATACAGATCATTCATGTAACTCAAGAAAGGAATGCATGTTCGTATTAAGTCGTATGTTATTGAACGCTTATCGGATTCGCCAAGCAACAGTTGACCGAGACGTAGATTAAATAATTGCTTATGAGTTGTTTTGGATTTAGCTCTAAACAACCGTCCGAGGAACAATTATTAGAATTTATCGACGAGTCCTTGTATGAACCAGAGTCCGACAGTATTTGTACAAGAATCAGTTGGCGACCGTTTATCTAAACCTATTATAAATCGTACAAAGTATCGTTGTGTTTGCTCTAACATTCTAGTTTCAGAAAATGTTAACTGCCTCCAAAGCTAACACGAGTACAATATGTTTCCAAAAAATAGTGTTTGTAATTGAGCTCATGCCAATCCGATTTAGGCCTATACTATACAGAGAATGTAGATTCATTTTCAGCTTTTAATTAGTCATTCCTTATAGTTAAATTCTAAATTTCATTTTAAAAAGTAAATCATAAAAAAAAACGTTGATGGTCCGAGTACACAGTTATCGTCCTTTGATTTTCGTTGTCCACGAATATAGTCCTTAGTGTGGACAGTGTGTTACTTGCCATTTTTTTTTATACCCCTTCCAAATTTATTTCTCCATGTTTTATGCCTCAAATAGCAAGTAAGGGGGTGAAATGACACTGTAAAAAAATTTGGGTCATGAATTTTAAAGTAAAGTAGTGATTTGGTCCAGCTGAAAAAGGTTAAAAATTAGCACTTCGGAAGCTGTCAAAAGATTTCAAGACCCCCTTAACATAAAATTGTCCATATTTTGAGTTAGAGCCGATGAAGTTTTCTATAATTTTGATATAATTTGTCCCAAAAGTAGTACAACACACTGTAAAAATATTATTGAGAAAGCGCAGGTGAGATTTTTTTAATTTTCAGTTATTGTCTAAAAGAAATGCACTACGAAATAACTGTGTACTCGAACCTAAGATGACGTCACGGCCACATGACGAAATTATGTTTATAAGCTGATAGACGAAAAACTTTCAGCCAATCAGAAGACGTGTTACATCCAAGATTAAATTATATATATATATATAAAATACCAGAAATTCCACAATCATTATTTACTTTCAGTAAAATCATTGACTGACGATGCTGATGTTACCTATCGTTTGATTGGTATTTACACTG